CTCAGAATGGGGAGAGAGCACAGGAGTCCTGGTTCCCTGCCCCTCTGCTTTAACCACTAGTTCCTAGATCCTCTGCAGGGATATTTTTTTAATCCCACGCCCATCCCTCCTCCACCAACCCCTGCATTGTTTCTTTCATTCTTATCCCTTTGCCACTTGCAGAAATCTTAGAACCTGCGAATCCTTCCAGGAGGGACAGCTCTCTCCATGCTACCAAAAACAAAAAGTCGGTTAATATATTATACATACAAACGGAAGTCAGACGCAACTTTGCCGCTAAAAGAGTAAAAGAAATTTTGCTTAAATCTTGTAAAAAATACATTCACTCCTGTTAGACTAAACACCAATCCCTTTCTAGCTCCTGCTTCTAAGGATACAAACTTTTATTTTAAAAAAAAGAGAGAGAAATTTGCCTCCTGTTGTGGGAATTCTGTTTATGAGAAGCTGGCGAGAGATTTTGTGACTTCCTGTGTGACTAGGCCCCACCCGGCTCCCGGAGTCTGGGTTTTCCCTGTCCCCCAGGGACTAAAGCAGACACCCTGCAGGCCTGCCCCTGAGTTTTCCAGTGTTACGCACTGTTGAAATCTTCCTGAACTTAACAAGCCCTGGATCCGAGTCGCTTTTCCAACAATCCCTGAAACATCTGGGCCAAACGGACCCGGCAGTGCGACTTTTATATGCTCCAGCATGTCGCTGACGCCCGAAAGGTGCTGGAGAAATTGCTGCCCATCCAGCCACAAACACGCCCCAGGAGCGACCGGTGGAACCAGCCTCCTGGGACAGATGGGTAAAATGAGGCACGGAGGAAAAGCTGCTTTGTCAGGGTCACATGGTGAAGGAGTGGCAGGGTGTGGACTGGAATACAGAAGCCTGGTCTTCCCATTCCACCTGTATTCATGGCTGAGAAGGCATCCACGAGTCCTGGCTCCCAACCTCCTGCTCTACCCACTAGTCATCACCACCACCATTTGTAATCAGTGATCCAGATGAAGGCGATAGCAATACTTATCTTAAAAACCAGCCCTAGAGTAAGGGAGCAATTAGATTAATTTATGAGAGGCCCTGATGTTTAAAACAAACAAAAGGAAGTTTTTCTTCACTCAGCGCACAGTTAACCTGTGGAACTCCTCGCCAGATGATGTGGTGCAGGCTAGAACTTTAACAGGGTTCAAAAAAGAGCTAAATAGATTCATGGAGGCTAGGTCCATCAGTGGCTATTAGCCAGGTGGGGTAGGAATGGTGTCCCCAGCCTCTGTTGGTTGGTGACAGGAGAGGGATCACATGAGGATTACCTGTTGTGATCTCTCCCTCTGGGGCATCTGTTATTGGCCACTGTCGGCAGACAGGCTACTGGGCTAGATGGACCTTTGGTCTGACCCAGTACGGCCGTTCTTATGTTCGTATCAACAGAGATAATTTGGTGCATTGCATTAGAACAGTGGCTCAGAATAGCTACAATTCAAAGATGGGGTTAGAAATGGTGGGACAGATTGGAAGACAGTTTCGTCAAGTGGGAGATTATTTCAGTTACCATTAGATTAAACTAGATTGGGAGCGAAAGAGGTGGACAGTTTGGATGGTGATTCTCATAGACAGGGGCTGGAGAACGGAGCCCTGAAATAGCTGGGTAGAAATGAGATTAGAAGAGAGGCCGACGAGATCCGCAGTGTTTAGATTAGATTTGGAGAATGCAGGTTAGATTATGAGAGGTCAGAGATATTAGAAAATAATCAGATTAGATTAGATTTTCAGAAGTTCAGATTATATTATATTATATTATATTATATTATATTATA